TGTTTATCATTCTAAACCTACCATCAGATCACTCAAACTTATAATATTGGTAAAGGAGTTAGCATCAAGAACTAAAGGAAAATAGCCTTTTAGAAAGTCAACAGTAGCAGAACTGCTTAAATATATGGGACAGCATGATGACTTAAAATCTTAGGTCAATTAATCTATAACCTTGGAGAAAATTTTCCTATATTTTTGTGCCTCAACATTCTCATAAATATAATGGAACAATACTGTTTCATGGCTCTATTATGAGAAAATGAACAATCTAAAATGCCAATTCTAATTAAAATGTTACCTTGAGTGCAGTGAGCAAAGTCTCATCTTTAACAACTAATAAAAGCTAGGTGTGGTGGCACACATCTGTGGTCTCAGCTACTTTGGAGGCTGAGGTGGGAGGATTGCTTAAGCCCAGGAATTTGAGGCTGTAGTGAGCTGTAATCACACCACTGCACTCCAGCCTGGGCACAGAGTGAATTCCCATCAATCAATAAATAAATAGGAAAAGGGGAAAAAAAGAGCCAATATATTTTTTTAAGAAGAAAAGCAAGTTTTCTGAAAGTTGGCCAGACCACAAGGAAAAAGCCATTCAATTGTAAAGGAAAGCCTGATTCAGCTTTCAGCTCTGCATTTTCCTTTTAATAAAGAAAAGGCAATTATATTTTATAATTTTTATTATGCATTCATTTTGGATGTTTTCCTTATGAATTATAAGTAAGTTTGAGAATTCAGTGAGTTTAAAGAAACCAGATTTCCTTTATGGGCTTTGTTGCTTATGGTAATCTTTCACCAGTCATAGGAATGTTTGGCCTATTTAAAGGTTGCAGGTGTGTGAGAATAGACAGTATTGAGAATGGGGACATATTCAAGCTACAAAAAGACTGCTGAAAGCCTATTTGAGGTTAATGCTTTAAGAGTAATGGTGCTTTTTTTCTTTTTCTTACTCATGTATACATGGGGAGCAGGTACTCCATCAGAACCATATCCTGAAGATTTAATTTTCTTTTCTGTTCTTTAGTAAGAGAAGTACAAGATACTTCTACCACCTTAGGATCAATGCAGCAAGCTTCCCTGAAATAGTAGGTATGCTGTGAGTTGTCCCTACCATCCTGTATAAAAAAGAAAGGAAGGAGAGAGAGAAAAAAATGGAAAGAGAGGAGCTGTTTTCCTCTTGGGTAGATGGAAACAGGGTTTGCATATCTAGGAGAGTATAGTGGTTTAGGTCAAGGCAGGGCAGTAAATGCTAGAATCTGGCCTGAGCTACCACTCCCACTGGCCTCACAAATGTCTGTGCACACAAATTGATTGTGCAGGGCACTAAGAATGACAGTACCTTGGCCTTTAGCCTAATAATGTGTGAGGGCCAGATACTTGTGACACTGGAGAATCATCCATTCCCAAGAATCACTGTGAACTACCAGCTGTGCCAGGCCTCCATGGCAGTGGGCCCAGCAGAGCACCCAGCCTCTTGCTTTGCCTCCTAGACCTCACCTTCAAGGTTTGCTTCACTAGGGAGACTCAACTGCCCATGGTGTCTGTAATCTCAAGGGATTAGGCCACTTTAGGCTGGAACTTCCTCCACTGCCCACCTGTGAGGCAAGAAAGAAAGCCAAGAGCTTTCTCCTCAGGCCTGAGCTAGCATGCTGGGAGCCCATACTGTCCTAGCAAGGCAGCAGGACAGCCATTGTTCTGATGTGAGGACCCCGGAACAGGGGTGACACTGCCTGAAAATCCAGAGAGCTACTCCTGGTGCTCAGATTTCTGCCCAGCTTCTGATCTTCAGACATGTCCCACCAAAGCCAGCTTCTGCCTACAGCCCTTCTGCCAGAAGCTCACCCAAGACCATAGGCAGCTTACCGATATCCACACTTCCTGCCCAAGACAATAAGGAGGTAAGGTTGGTAGAATGAGTTTTTCTACTGCACTGGACCTTGTAAAGAAGAAGTGATAAATTCCTCCCATTCAAAAGAGAGCTTTCAGAAACCAGGGCCAGATACTGTTTCCCTAGGACTTGCCTAAGCAACTGATTAGGCTTCCACAAGCAACCCCACTCCTATCCCTACCACCTCACTGCTCCTTCTGTATGGAGAAGAACAGAAAGAAATCATCTAGGTCAACAGCCTTGGACAAAATTTATAGTAGGAAGAGACTCTCCTTATTCCCCACTGTCCACTCTTGCCCCAAGGCAAAAGAAATGGGGGAGGGGCTGCAAGAAGGGAAGAGTGACACCTCATTCCCCAGCTGGATATCTGCTTCAGCTATAGACTTGCAGGTCTCCCCCTTTGCCTACCTGAGCAAAAGAAAGTGAACTGAACAGAGAAGGCAGCTGAGGAATGGTTTGCACTTGGAGAAAGAGGAGTCTTGAGCTGTCTTGTCAAGATCTACCCACGAGGCCTGACCACTGGCATAGGGACCCAGAAACAATAGGCTGTGGGGTGTGCTGCCAGGGCGTTGCTGAAAAGTAGCAGAAAATGTCCTTTTAAACTGGATCTTCCACCTCTTGGAATGGTGTGGTCCCTTCTTACCTATTCCTTCCCACTCCAACACATGGAGGATTTTAAAACTGAGAGAAGTAGGCCAGAGAGCATTCTGAACTAGATATGAGAAAAAGGTTTTTAGAGTGAACCAACCTCAATTTAGTGTTTGAAAGTGACAAGAGTAAAGGAATCTGTCTACAATGTGCTAAGCCAAAAAATTTTTGTTTTTTATGTGTTAAGAGAAAATCGGATTAGGAGATAGTAATTGAAAAAAGTAAAGCCATTTTCTTTTGGCTCCACCGAATTGGGACTGCCCAGTAAACAATTCCAGAATCATAAACAGTGATGGGCCTGTGGAAGTGTGGATTACATGTGCTGTCACATCCTTTCCCTCCCTGAGATTCTGGGTTTGATTGTAGTTGTAGCAGAGTATCCATTTGAAAGACAGTCACACCCATCACTGGGATTCAGCTGTGTGTGAGTAAGTCTGGAGGATGGTGGGATTAGTCAACCCTGGGCTGCTGTCTGAGTCCTGTGGAGAAGATGGGAAGAGGTACCAAAATAACTGAAAGAGCCACTTTTGTTAAAATTGGGTAAAACATTGGTGTTAAAGCATTGCTCTCAAGTCACATTTATCGTATTGCAAATTCCCGTCAAGAGAAAGTTTTTTACTTGCCAACCACTGCATCTAAAGCTGTGCTGTTTAATGCAGAAGCCACTAGTCACATGGCTACCTAAATATAATTGAAAATTAAATTCTTAGATTACATTAGTCACATTTCAAATGCTTAGAAATTGTATGTGGCTATTGTTACTATATTGAAAGTAAAGATGCAAAACATTTCCGTCTTCACAAAAAATTCTATTAGGCAACTCTGTGTTAAAGAAAATGCTATTAGTTCAAATGATGAAAGAGATCATGACCAAGATGGACTGGTGAGATATCATTTGGAATGTACAAAATTACACATTCCAAACTTTATGGGCAAGTCAAAGGTTAAAGTGATAGAACAGAAAGAGGAAGAGAAGAAGTCCCGTTACTGCAGGGAACACGGTGAGCCTTGGGCTCACAAAAATCCATGAGGCCTGAACTCTGTTTTGGGAACTTGAGAGCTGCCATGGAGAAGGCTTTGGGGCCAGAGGACAGTCCAGTCACTGGGTACTGATCCCTGGGGAAGTGGTGTCCAGACAGGGGACGGTGATTCTCAGAGAAGGTGATGGCACATGGTGGGAGGGATTTCACTGTGGCAGTCTTCTTTTGAGAAGTATCTGTTCATATCTTTTGCCCACTTTCTAATGGGTTTAATGAAACAGGTTAGTATATAACCTAGATTAGAAATGTTTCCTTCAAAAGTAGTTTATCAGAGACATTTTAGAGCTTAAAAGGGTAAGTGGAAAGTTCACTTACAAAATCTGTCTTTTCCTATGACCAAGCACAACAATGAACTGGCTTCAGGCTGCTTTCCAGGCCTAAGATTTTTATATACATGGAGGCCTGAGCCTCTAAAGTCATATAACAATATAAATGGTTCTGAGGAGATTGTCTATTGGAACAACCACTGTCCCTGCCGGATGCCTTCAGGGCCCAGAAGGAGAAGACTGTGACAGCAGTTGGCCATACAGTCTCTTCTCAGAGTGATTGCTGATAGTGAAACACAGCATCTCTGTGCTGTGTCTGAGTCATTTCTTCAGCCAACCTAACCTGCTGGCTGGAAGGACACAAGATTCATTCCTACTTTGGGTGCCCAGAGACCTAAGCCACTCTCTTCCCCTGTTTCAAAGTTAGACAGACACATGCAAGGAAGTCTTTCTTTGAAGAAAGCTGCCATCTTTGGACTTGAGGTCAGTGTAGACCTTACTCACTATCCCTCTTCCTTTGACTCAGCTGGCTGAGAGAAGAAGCCATTGGCTTGAATGTTTTCTTAGCCTTGAGAAGCAAACAAATGTGGGGAAAAAAGTGTGTGTTTTCATCTCTCACCGTGGTGTGTTAAAAAGCCCTCTGGATCCTTCTCAGTGGAGTGGATATGGTATCAAAAGTGGATATGGTATCAAAAAGGATAAACCTTTGTCAAAGACTCTCAGGAGTCATTGAGATGATGTAGTTTTCTTAGGTAGAGGGTGTGTGTGTGTGTGTGTGTGTGTGTGTGTGTGTTCGTTCTTGCAGATTTTCACAACCCAATGCAGTCCCCTGAGATATGAAAAGAAGCTACAATACTCTATCCCTCCTTGCCAGTGTCTCCAAAGAGTTCAGCAATTTCATGGTTTTCTGGAACTCAGACCTATGATGTGAAATGCTTCTCCTTCTGACCCTTGGCAATTCTAATACATCCACTGTTCTTTCTGGCCTGGGACTGACCCTTGCATCCATTCAGCAAATACTATACTAGTCAAGAACAGGCAGTGAGGAAGAAAATTCAGATATCAAAATTGGCCTTTGAAAACAGAACTGATTACTTGGTTCAAATATTCCATAGAAATAGGGGTCATGATGCTCTCTTTCAATGAGATTTCTTTTATTTTCAGACTTTACAATGTATAATCATCAAACGTACGCCCATAAGCATGTGGTGCTGGCTGGTCTTGGATGAAATTGCAAAGGAAAGGAGTTTGGATTTTCCACACCCTCTTTTTTTTTTTTTTTTGCAGCCTTTTATCACCTTTTAATAATTCCCCTGCAGGAGATGTTCCATGCTCTTAGGTTGTCCTCTCCCAACTGGAGAATAGCAGCTATATAATGAATTAATTCAAAGGAAAGGAAGTAGGACTGTGTTGTAATGTTCTATGCTGCCCAGAAGCAATACATTTTAAAAGACAACTTCTAAAGACACTTTGAAGAAGCAAGTTTCTTTTTTGGCTGTAGGGGAGGGAAGAATTCAAGACCCAACAATCAAGAAGAATTGGAGTATAGTCATTTCCTAAACTCTCCCCGTGAGAATCACCTGAGGGTAAAACTTGGCTTTCCCCAGCCTTTCTCTTGACCTTTGTTCTTTAGGAGACAGACCTAAATGTCTGTGTTCTGCACGGTTCTTGTAATCAGCTGAGTTTGGAAATCACTGGTCTAGGGGATTACCTACTCTGCATTCACACAAAGCTGAAGGTAGATGGAGTTGTGGTAAGTTGTACTTCTTATGAAAGGATCTGAGTTTGATTCTTGACTCTGTTACTAGACAAGTAGCTTGAGCTAATCATTTAGCTCTCATGAATGGCACCTGTGAATTGGATCAATTAGCCAATTATTACAGGGTTGTTGTGGGGCTTAGAAAGCATGCATATAAAAGCCTGGCACATGGAATATCCCCCAATATTAATAATTCTTTCATTTTCTTTTTTAAAGAGATGCAGCCTTGCTGTATTGCCCAGGTTGGAGTGCAGTGGCTATTCACAGACACAAGTCATAGCACAATACAGTCTTAAACTCCTGGCCTCAAATGGTCTTCCTACCTTAGCCTCCTAAATAGTTAGGACTATAGGTGCATGCCATAGTGCCCGGCCTGATAATTCTTAATAGTAGTTGAGTCAAATAAAGAAAATCGGATTTATATCATTTCAACTGGGTATTCAGAGTCTTTAAAAGATTTTATTTAAGTGCTTTCAAACATATATAAAAATATAGAAAATAGCATAATAGCCCTCCTCATAGCTATTCCTTAGCTCCTCAATTATAAACACATTGCTCTGCCTTTGTGTAATTCTGTTTAATTTTTTTAAGTGGTAAGAAATATAAAATAACTTCTGTGGTAAGCTATGCTTAGTATTCTTCCCCATGATTGTTTTATTTTTATTTTTTATTGCATTTTTGGTTTTGGGGTACATGTGAAGAACATGCAAGATGGTTGCATAGGTACACACGTGGCAGTGTGATTTGCTGCCTTCCTCCCCTTCACCTATATCTGGCATTTGCTTAGTATTTTTTAAACCTTCTAAAAGATGATGCTACCTCTTTGGGGAAGGAAAAAAAATACACTAGGAAAACTCAGTGTAAGTGAGCACTTATTCCTGACAAATGGATAAGCAGTAGTGACTTTTTCCCAGCCAAAGTTCTAACTGTACAAAATCCATCCCAATGCAATCCCTCAGGTCTGCATGCTGTATCTACAAACAAGTCCACTGCCTGAGCCAGATAGCTCCTAACAGCTGTGGTAACATGCTATCCGTGGCATCGTAAGGTTAACTCTAACAGATGTGTTTTCACAAAAAGCAAAGGAACCTTGCTGGTCTGAGCACAGGAACAGTGTGATATTGGAAAACCACATAGCAGAGTCACATCCAGCACATCCTTCTAGCCATTGCACATTGTGTGCAGAAACCTATGCATCCAAGAAGCTCCTATCAGAGTGAAGAAAGCACTGTGAGATTGAAATCCTGGGCCTGATGTGCTGGGTCAAGTCTTTGCCATTTGAAAGTAAGAAGGACATTCATTCATGACTTCTCCATTCCCAAAAGACCTTGCAGGTATTAGCATGTAGACAAGGTGACGTGTGGTCCTTGTGTTTGGCCATTTCTAAGGCTTGTTGTTCTTAAACCATCACTCTGATATACTACCAACCCCAGCAAGAACTTGCAGCTCCCAATGTTTGTTTATTCATAAGTTAACCGTTGAATAAAAAATGAGTCAGTTTCATAAAGAATAACCAGAGCCCAAACAAGCAAAATATGAAAAGGAAGGGAAAAAACACAACCACTAGTGTAGTTCAGAGTTCATCTCTGCTGACTGTTCAGCACTGAAACCAGGATTCATCATCATCTAGTTCTTATTCTATGAATCCAGGGCACCGCTCCTCTGGGATGTGTGCTGTTGGGAATGGCGTGTTGCAGCAGGTTCTGAGGCACCCACTGAAGTTTCAGGAAGTCTGGGATTGACAAAAAGAAGGCACGAGGGCTCCAGTCCATGGCAGCAGTGTTTAGTTTTATTGTCTTGTTCTTACTCTCTGGAATTTGCCAGGAAACTTTGCAGCCAGACACCTTGTCCTGAGAAGGCTGTGTAGCACCTGGTCCCTCTGCCGTGTACCTGCGCCTCTCAGGCACTCTGAAGGGATGGCTTTCCCACAGTGAGGATGATGAGGGCGGCTCACTGGGAAACTAACTCTGAGCACTGCTGGCCATATACTCGCATTCCTGCCTGCCGGCCCAACTCCCTCTCTTGGACGCTGATAATCCCCCAAACAATGCCCTGTGACTGCAAAGTGATGGGACTGATCTCCCAGAGCCAGACCTGGAATTCTGTCTTGTTCCTTTTCAGTCATGCTGGCCATGTGATGCACTCTGAACATCTTAGAGGACAGAGAGGCCAAAAAGGTGTCCATTTTTACTTCAACTTCTAAAGCCTGTTAATCTTGGTTAGAAGAAGGGGAGAGAAGGGAGTAAAGACAAGAAGAAAAGGAATGAAGGGAGATGAGCATGGGTGGACAGTTGGCTACTAGTGACAAGCAAGAGGTCTGGCTCTTCATTTCTATTAGCTTAAACCCAAAACATTTCCTCCTTTGCTAGGATGCGCTACCTTTCTTAGGATAAGCTTTTCATTATTTCTGAGGTGAGGAGGGATAACAAGTTGATTTTAAAAGTTTTCCTTTAAACTGTGGAAACAAGAATCTCTTAGCAATGCCACGTCTTGCCCTGACATTCTTCAAAGCTCTATACGTTTTAACCTCATGTTGAATTCACTTTTACAGTTTTTGTTGCTATAATAACAGCTTTCTTTCACTCCTTCAATGTTCAAGTTGCTTTATTCACTATAAATCATCCCATCAAAATATCTAGGTTGTTCCCAAGTGAAGAAAAACATTGGGCAAAATGGGGAACAGAAAATTTAACCATTAAATTCCACCTCTTCCCCAACTCTATCAGCAACGGCCAAGACCAAACCTAGTGCATCTTACATGCCCTACTTAGCACAACAGACACCACCATGTCAAATTATTTGCTGGGGCAGTTCAGGCTTCCACCTGAAGAAACTGAGTAAGTGCCCACAGCTGCTGGCTGCCCATGGCCTCTCAGAAAATAAATGCCTTCCAGGGTAACTTTCTGTTCTCTCTGTGTGAATGAAACTCACCAGTCCTGGAAACTGTTTACACACATTTGGTAGTCATTCCTCCCTTAAAGGGATCTGAATAAAGAGCCAGAGAAAAGGGCTCTTTCTCTCCCAAAGCTTGCTGTTTCTCTCTCTCTTGGGCCACCTGACTCCCCTTAGCCTTGTGCCTTTGTACAGCTGGTGTTGACATCATGTTAATTACACAGTCCTGTGTTTACATGTGGGTCTCCTGAAAGGCTAGCAACAAGTTAGCTGTGCAGAGGCAGGTTGCAAAGCTCATTTCATTGACTTGCCCTTATGTCTGAAATGAACTTTTCCAATGGCGACTGGTGAATGATTCACAGGCATCCCTAGGAGACAAGCACATAGCATCATCCCTACTTTGTCAACAAAGAAATGGGCCATGGTGGGAGCTGCTGATCCAGGGCTGCACAAGTATGTCAGCAACAGGGTCAAGTGCTACTCTTGGGGCTAGGCTCACAGTCATCTGCTCCTATCCTGAGTGGCTCTACTGCCTCTGGACAACACATACTCTAGGGGTATCTCACAAGCTTGGCAGGGAGAAAACATTAATACACATATGAAAAATGCAGCACTGGTTGAGTGCTAGCACCTTAGCTCTCTAAAGGCTCTAGCTCTGTATCAGAATGACTATGGGCCACTTTTGTGCCATATGCAAATAAAGCTTCATGAGAGCAGGAAATTATGATGTTTTCTTGGCTGCTCTATCTGCAGTGCTTAGATCTGTACCTGGCTAAGGTCAGTAGGGACTTAGTAGTACTAGATGAGTAATGAATGACCCTTGGCTACATTCTCTTAGCCACTAGGAATAACAGCTAAGCCTTCCCTAGCTGGTATGGTACCCCTGTGAACCTTGCACTCCTCTTACCCACCTCAGTGAGAAAGGGTATTTAAATAGGCATTTAAACAGATGATCAGATCTTCTGTGATTTCTTCAGAGACACTCAATCACAAGCCTATTTATAGCCATTCATAGAATGATCTCTATGTCACAGACAAAAGTACAAATATATAGAGGTCAGATGATTTGTTCACACTCCCTCAGCTAGGACAAAAATCTCAGATCTCCTGATTTTATACCCCACACCAGATTTTTAAATATAGTTTTGCCTCAGGGTTAGGCTATAGCTGTAGCCACGCTGGCTATCCACAGGTCCTAGACTGAACAGTTACGTAGAAGGTTTAGAAACTACAGAGAAAGCCCTATCCTTAGCATTGTGCCCTCAGCTCTAGAAAGCTGAGTTGATACACAGGTTGCTATTAGATATTCATTTGAAGTACAGAAATTGTGAAGACTAAGCCAGGGTTGGCAAAATGAGCATTTGTAAGGGTCAACTCAATTAGAGGGTATTTTGTTCCAGAAACAATCTTGGTGTTTCACATGAGTGGGAATCTAACAGCACTCCCCATTTCACATGCTAGGAAGTATGCATTTATTTGCCTTTTCCTTCAGGAAACAAGTTTGTTGTAGGAAAATTCTTATTTCCTGGATAGAAAATTTAAGGCAGATAGATGGATGTTTGATAACTTGTATGGAACTGTATTGGGGAATCTTACATAAGACAGAATTCTAGCATTAGCTTTTTTCAAGCATTACCTCTTTTCAGAGTCTTGTGCATTTCTTAAATTCAAATGTGTAGATCATTTTTCTGTGAAGGGAATTTTATAAAAAGACTAGGGAAAATATACAATGTAAAGAAGTATCAACTCTTTGGATCAACTTTGGTCCTTATGTCTTAGATACCAGGGGATTCAAACAAACCCCAAATGCCTCTGGTCACCCCCAATTCTACATTGTCTTTTCTTCCCAGCTTTGGAGAGGGTACCTGCTCAAGTGCCCCAGTCTAGAAGGATCAGAACATGATACAGCCCTTAGAGTGAGGATCCTGTGTGACAGTCGGGCCCTTTTGCTCAGTGTTAAATATTAATTTGGAAGTTTCTACTTGTAGAGCCTCAGCCTGAGAAGAAACAACTTGGCAGACTCAGAGAAGTTCTCCTAAACCAAGTGCTGTTGGTTTGTCCCACACAGGATCACCCAGTCCCGCCACATTCTTCCACAAAGTCAGAAGTTCACTTAGATTGCTAGGCTCACTGAGATTACAGGAGAAAACAATGAGAGGCTACTAAGAATAAATTCCCTGGAGGTGGTACATCTGACCAGAAGAGCCTCAGAGCTGACAAATGAGGCTGGCTTTAGACAGCCCAGGGATGACTGCTTTCTCTTACGTCTTCAAGTCAGGATTACCATGCTCGGCAGTGTCTTCTCTATAGGGATGATTAGGAACAGCAATCCAGCTGGAAGTGGGTGCCAACTGGACCTTGAAGTCATGCTTTCATAGCACTTTATATAAGCTTAAGAAAACAGCAACTGTTCATATAAAGAATTGGGAAAGGTGGCCCAATGGCAATAAAGTGGGTCTGAAGTCCGAAAGCCACCGCTTGGCATGGCACTGATGCCTAAAAGCCTTGATGCAATTTTTACATAAAAAACTGAGCAGCAGATTCTCTCACTATTCTGAAAAATGCACATTTTTCAGCAATTAAGAGGAACCTGCTGCAGATATTTAATTAATCGAGACTGAGAAATATTTTCCAGTGGGAAAACTCACATGGTGTCTCCTCTATCTTTCAGGATATATAACGTCTAGAAAGCTCAAATGACATTTTCATGTCTTCCTGGTGCCAAGCCAGTGAATGGGTGGTGTGAAATGTTTATACCAACAGTCATTACTAAAGTTTCCCACAGGGCTGAATCAAATTAATTAGGCTTAGCTAAACCTGTCAGCCACACCCGGGATCCAGCTGAATAACCCTTACAGGATTTGGAAACACCCCTTCGACAAACACTCATTTATTACTACCTGTATTCTGTGAATCACTCTGCTGCAGATAATGCCTGACTGAACTTCCTCAAAACACGGTGCTTCATTGACTAGAAGTCAAAGACCTCTGCTTTGCTTTTCATTTTAAAATGTTGTTCTTCAAACCACTTTACAAATATTAATGTATATTTCATTTTGACCCATAGTTTGCTCAGAACCAAGAATAATGCAGTTTCTTTTTCTTCAGGCCCTAATCAAAGGACTGGATAGTTTCTACCAGCACTATTTGTTTTCCTTGAAATTGATGGGAATCTCTTTTTCCTTTCCAAAGCCTGTAGAGTCGTCTTAGAATGCATTAGAAATTCTTCTGAGCCTGAAGCTTGTGTCTTTCTTGGAGGGCTCTGGAAAGTCATTCCAGAGCAAACTCATGTCTTTGGGCACCAACATTATCTTCGGACCCAGGGTTTCATTCAACACACATTTATGGGGTGTTGATTAGTGCCAGGGTACTGTTCAAAATGTTGGGCAAACAATATAAATGCTTCCTGCTTTCAAACCAAGGCTTCTAGTGGTGGGTGGCTGGTAGGGGGAGAAAATAAGCAAATCAACAAAGAAGCAAAGTAATTGCTGACAGTGACAAGCAATATTAAGACAGCACAAAGGATAATGGCCTAGAGAGTGACTGGGGATGTGAGTGTTGAGTTGGTCGGGAAGATTTTCTGAGGGAGTAGCATTTGAGGTGAGATCTGAATAATAATATTATGCTAATTGCATCACATTTTGTTACATTTACTTTTCTATTTTTAAAGCAAATCCACAAGGATATAAAGTCAAACAGAACAAAGAGACTGATTAGGAGACCATTGTCCTCTCATACTATTGTTTTTTTTTTTTTTTTTTGGTAGGCAGACATATTCAGGGAATGCTGGTAAATTGGTTCAGCCTCTAAGGTGAGCAACACTGCAGTAGCTATCCAAAATTAAAATGCACTATCCTCTGATCCAACAATCCCACTTGTAGAAATTAAATCTAAAGAAAGAATGGTACATAGGCAGGTTGGGGGTTGGTTAAGTAAAGTATGGAACATCCATATGAGAGGACACTTTTTAGCTGTTAGACAGAATGAGGTTGGGCCCAAGATAAATTGTTAAGGGAAAAAGAGCAAGGTGCAAGAACTATGTGTTTTGTTTAATATGCTATAATTTGAGGGAGTATATATTTTAAAAAATTGATAACAGTTTTTGTCTCAGCAGGGGTTAGGGGAGAATTAGAATTAGAAGGACATCAAACAATACTTATAATCTCTATATGTTCTTCTGTAACTTTCACATTGTTTTACTTGTACATATATTGGCTATTTAAATAAACAGACGTTTTGCAAAATAAAGCATTGCATTATAAATAGTTACAAATATATTTTATCTAAAGTTCATTCCATGTGTACTTACACATCACAATTTTAACTGGAATAAATTTTAGATGTTCAAAGAGGGAAAGCTCCCGTGGTCACCCTCTTAGCCAGCTCAATATATGGGCATTTCTCAGCCTGGGCTTATGTTTCCTAAACTCAGTCTTACAAAGACCATTTCTCAGTAGGGTCTTTGTAAAATTGAGTGTAGGAAACATTTCAGGAAAGGTATTTTCTCCTCTTTGGAAGACAGTGCACTCATTTCTGATCCATTGAAAGATTTGAATAATTAACCTGACCAATGTTTAGCTAGAGAACTGAAAAAGATGATTTTAAAAAAAAAAACACTTTCCAATGCATATATAATGTTTCCTCCTCTAAGGAGGGTTTCTAAGGCCTTGGTTTCTAAGAATGAACTTGCTCCAGCAGAAATTTTTTTCTGTATTCTCACAGCTGATTTATGTTCTCAACCATTTATAATTATGGATTGAGAAGAGTCTTTAGCTACCAGTAAAATTTTAAGAAACACAGTGGAAATCAAATGTTGTTTAGATGTCTGTATTTTGTGCACAATCTCTATTGTTTCCTACAGTGCTGTGTCAGGAAAGGACACCAAATAATACTTACAACCTCTGCTTCTTGTGGAAATAAAATCTATCTCCTGTTAAATAAAGCACTTATGCACACACAAGTTTTATTTGAAAGAAAATTTGCCATTGATAAAATGAAGAGCCATGGGAATGACATTCAGTATCTATTTTGAAAATGCATTAAATATGTATCTAGTAGAATTGTGAGGAATTAAGTCACTTGTAGTCAAAATTTCCATTGGCTACAAGCTGGATGTGAGCATTTATACAGGGGCAGGGCTTGGAGAATTGGCAGAGTGGCCTACAGTTTGAGTCCCAGTGGTGCTGCAGGAAGGAGAAATGGCTCATTACAAGAAGCCATGGTAACACCCCAGAGAGCAGCTGCATGTGGAGCTGAGTCAGAGAGCACAACCTGACCAAGAAAGGGCAAAGAGGACAGAAACTGCTTATCGTCATGTGGGTAGAATCTTTGAACACAACAATCAAGAAATAAATGTCATCCGTTGGTGGCAGAGTCTACCCATTCTGTGAAGTAGGGTACAGATGAAAGGTATTTCTGAATACCAGCTCACTGGCCATTGGTCTTCCACTTCAGTACAAACCCCAGAGAAAGCCAGAGTCATTATTACAAGAGGCCTTTCCAAGCACAGATCTTTCAAAGTGCAGGCCTGTTATGTGTGGTGACAGGACCTGGGAGTAGGGGAGGAAGTTAGCAGAAAGTGGGTCACTAGAGAGGGCTGGGCTAGCTCCCGATCAGGGTCCCTTGTCCTCATGATTAGGTTTCAGGGAAGGCTTTTGTTTTTGTGGACCTTAACAACACACACCCTCTAGTATTCTTGTGGGAGAGGGAAGGAAAGGGGTGCCATGTGGGCACTAGAGAGCAGGGATAGAGAGAGAAAAATCTGAGAGAGAGAGAGAGAATAATTCAGACAGAACTCTAGAACTCAAGACTCTGAAAGTACCTCCATTCCAAGGAGGGACTGCCCTACTGCAGGCAGCAAATATGCCTTGAGAGTCCTGAAGATCCGTGTGACAATTGTGAATAATCTTGAATTTTGACTTGTATTTTCCACCTTCTATTTTTGATGTTCTTCTTTGGAGTCACTCAGTTGTAATCCGATGAGGTTCCCTATGAAGCTTATTATTTCTCTAAGGTCAAAGTCTTTACTATTAATGATTTAATCTATAGACTTACAATTTCTTATAAGATAAATTGAGTTGGAAAGGACAGTAAAGATATGCCCCACTATTTTTAAGATGAGGAAACTGAGACCTAGAGGGATTGAGTGATTTGGTCAAGGCTCTCAGAAAAGCTGAGACTAGAATTCAAGCTTTCTCTAGGCAGAGTCCTTTGCTACTTGAAAAGTAACATGAATTTCCTGCTTTCACATTCTACTCACATTTTGATTCATTTTATTTCAAACTGTGTGGTCCATTTCCTTGTCTCAAAAAGAACAGAATATGTTGATTCAGCAGGAATTTTCAGAGTGGGTCAGGGGTGGGCTCTACAAGGACTCACAAAACTTAATGTGATCAGAGGAATCTTAATTGACAAATAATGTCCAGATTTACAAATACTTGACACATATAAACTGACTCCAGCTTAAAATTTTGAAATACAGAAGAGTTAACCTTTGTTTTCAGGGGAAGCCATGACTGTTTAAAAACAATGTGCTGGTGGTCAGACCTGTAATCCCAGCACTTTGGGATTTGACCACCATGCCTGGCTATCATTTTCATGTTTGTTTGTTTGCTGGCTTATTTATTTTGAACCTTGCAACTACCCCATGAAACAACAAGAATATATCATTCCCATTTGAAAGATTAGAAATACTCCTGCAACATAGCAAAACCCCATCTCTACAAAAAAATTAAAAATTAGCCAGGCATGGTGGCACACACCTGTAGTGCCAGCTACTCGGGAGGCTGAGGTGGGGAGGATCTCTTGAGGCCGGGAGGTCAAGCTGTGGTCATGCCACTACACTCCAGTCTCAGTGACAGAGCAAGATCCTGTCTCAAAATAATAATAATAACAATAATAATGATAAGGCTGGATACAGTGGCTGACACCTGTAATTCCAGGACTTTGGGAAGCTAAAGCAGGCAGATTGCTTGAGCTTGAGTTTGAGACCAGGCTGGGCAAGATAGCAAAACCCCCCCGCCAAAAAAAAGAAAAAAAAACAATGTGCCATTAGCTTGATGATGTCTTGATTTGGTCTAGGATTCTGCACTTAATAATTGCAGACAATACTGAGGTGGTGAAAAGGAAAAATAAATTTGGCATTTTTCAGTTCAGTAAGTCTAAACAAACCACATCATTTTACATCAAGTAGATCATGTTTTACTAGAATTTTCCAGTTTGGCAGTCTATCTTGATGAAACCAACTAAATTATTGTCACTGTGGCTAGCTGTGAAAGAATACAATTTAAAAAATCTGGTGCCTTATCTTATATCTTCTCAGGTAGCACATCTCCCAGAGATGGTGAAATACCCCATTCTGCTGGGTCAGAGTGATTTTCTCCCTCCTTCACTTGGGAGTGGGTCTGTGATGCACAGTGATACTTTGGCAGAGGTAGACTATATTTTTAAGTGTCTTAGTTAATCTTAAGTTAAACTTATGTTAACCTTATTCCTGAAGACTGGGTCCCAAATTTTCTACACCTTGCTGTGGTCTCTGCAGTCATTTACTAAGGAAACATTATTTATTCAGTGTTTGACACTCCTGGTTTCTAAAAAAGATACTGACAATACAAATATACCCTTAAGGAGCTCACAGCATAATTGTAAAACATATCTTTAAATAAATAATGACGATTGGGTATGGTACCAGCATGATAAACCTTGTCTGGATGGTGATTTAAAAGTTTATCCAAGAGCCACAAGCCCTGTTCTGTTTCTTCATGCATTAGTTCATCTCTGAAACACTGAACTTCATCCTTAAAGATAGCTATCACATTGGTGCCTCACATCTGAAAGTTGGATAAAAGACAGTAGAGGTCCTGTGTACCTGTTCCTCCATTTTTACCTCAATGACCTGCTTTTGCAGGCAGGTATGCAGTAGTTTTAAGCCAGTATCTTGAAAGTGGGGTGGATATGATGATCAATGGAGATGAAAGACACAAATATAACATCTATTTACATTTATTTGTATCTTTAAAAATGTTTTTAAAAATGCTGTTTTCTCATATTTTAATACTTTCATTAGGGCTGTCTGTTGAATGAGCACATATCGTGTACAGTAGGCATAGTACCCTCCAGAAAGACTGAGAAGTTCCCAGAACAGAGGAAGGTATCCACCCTTTTTTCCTTTTCAGGGTGTTGTAGCATATTGCATTTTGTTGATGCTTGGTTGAGTGGGTTTAGGATTATATCATTTAAATTAGGGGTCAGCACACTATGGTCCCTGAGCCAAATCTGGCCTGCTGCCTATTTTTGCAAATGAACTTTCACTGGAGCACAGCATGCTCATTCTTCTGCGTATTGTCTATTGCTGCTTTCAGACAATGGCAGAGTTTAGTAGTTGTGACAGAGACCATATGTCTCAGAAAACCCAAAATTTTTACTCTCAAACCCATTACAGAAAACATTTGCCAAACCTTGTCCTAAATAGTTCCATTTTTGCAAAATGTTGTAAGACTAGGGAGAAGGACGGTGAGAGTGGAAAGGAGAATTGTACCCATGAAAATCTTTATACTACACCTAGGTTATCTAATGACATTTTTATTTTATGAAAACACACATCTCAAAGTAGCTGACCTTTTTTTTTTTTTTTTTTTGAGATGGAGTTTTGCTCTTGTTGCCCAGGCTGGAGTGCAGTGGCACGGTCTTAGTTCACTGTAACCTCCACCTTCTGATTTCAAACTTAATTCTCCTGCCTCAGCCTCCTGAATAGTTGGGATTACAGGTGCCCACCACCACACCATGTTGGCCAGGGTGGTCTCAAACTCCTGACCTTGTGATCTGCTGGCCTTAGCCTCCCAAAGTGCTGGGATTACAGGTGTGAGCCACTAGGCCTGGCCTGTCCTTTTTTTTCTTGTGATGACAAGTAGCTAACTCTAGTGACCTAGAAGATATTTTGGGGAAAAATAAAAAAAAGACTCAACATTTAAACTGTCTTTTCAAGGTAAAAGGACATTTTTAAACAGTGAGTGAGAAAAACATATGTAATTTAACAAGAAACCTACTATGAAAAATTTTGAAAAATAATATTTTGATGTTTCCATTTTATCTAGTTCTGTTTCTTAAAAAGTATTATCACATAAAAGTGTTCACATCTGCATTCTTAGAAACACTTGGAAGCAGAATTTTCCTTTAAAAGCTATCCAAATGAGGAGTTTCGGTAAAATTTGAAGAGATATATTAAAAATATAAAAATACACTTTTCTATTCATTTGCAAGAACAACTGATTGACATCTAGAATTATGGATATTTGCTAGCTGATTTTCAACAGAAATTTTTGCTTAAGGAGATTAAGAATGAAAAATTAGATTTATGATTTAGTAAGCTCAGCCAGTGATGGACTTCTTCCAATCAGACATATCTTTGTGATATCCTTTTTCCAGCTACTATTGTTAATATTTTTTAGTGAGGACAAAAGAATTATTTGGTGTACATTTAATAAATATAAAAATACATTTCTTTTTAAAAATCTTTTATATTACTTATTAATCTATTTCTTAATTTGTTTCTATTGTATTTTTTATGATGTAGTCAATGTATTCATGGAGAAAATACATATATTATTTATTAATATATAAATATACATACATTGGAGTGGATTCTCCCAAAGTTTTCAGTGATAGAAATGTATAGTGAAAAAAATTTAGAGATCAATAATTTGGAGTGTGAACTTGGAATTTTAGTAGATTTAGATTTAAATAGAGCTCTGTCACTTATTGGCTACATTCTCTTGATTAAAATAATTTATTGTATGCCTTATTTTCTTAATGGTAAATTGAGATAAGGTACATAAGGCACTTAATACAAAGTCTAACACATAGTAAATATTTTATAAAGATCAGTAAATATAATTATTGTACCTATATACCTCCAAGTTCTCCAGCTTTCCAGGGTCACCCTTTTCTTTAATATTTCAATAAAATAATCCAAAAATTAGTATATGTCCCTGATTATCATAGAAAGTGCTCAGTATACTCAGACTGCTATAACAAATTACCATAAACTGTGAAATTGTAAACAATAGAATTATTTCTCACAGTTTGAGGTCTGGAAAGGTGTGGCCGATTTGGTGAGGGCCCACTTCTTAGTGCATAAGACAGGTATCATGTCGCTGTGTTTTCACATGGCAGAAGGGATGAGGGAACTCTCTGGGATCTCTTTTATAATAAGACACTAATCCCACTGAGTGCTCTGTCATCATGACCTAATCACCTCCCAAAGTCCCCACCTCCAAATACCATCATCCTGGGGATTGATTTCAACATATGAATTTTGGGAAGACATAAACATTCAGCCTAGAATAGTGCTTGAATTCTTTTTGTATGTGACATTTTTTTCTGGTTGCCTAATGTCCCTCTCTTGGCTCAGTTCTCTATCACCTGCAGGTTTATCTATTCCTTATCTACATGACTCCAAGAGTAACTATTGAAAGACTTTCTTAAGACTTGTGGATAACAGTTCAGAACTGGAAAGAATTTACAATATAGGCATCAAACAATGCCCTTCCTAAGTTCATGGATTGCTACCCATTGCTGAGAATGTCTTAGTAATTCTGTCCACTGTTGAGCCTAGACTGTTGCCCTGTTGTTGGTACTAGACTTTTCCTTTCAGAAAACTTTCTGCCTTCTTAAATGTTTCCTGAATTCAAAGCCCAGCCCCCAGTTTCTCAAACTAGTGAAGGCTACTCTGTTATGCCAAGGCCCTGAGTACAGCTGCAGTCTGGGCACTAAACTTCTCCGGGGTGCCATTCACACTGACAACTGAATAATGAATGCTCACTGGAGTTGTACAATAAGATAGCCCTTCCTCTTTCTATCAAGAATGGGCTGTTTGCAAAAACCTCACTTTCAAAATCAAGAAGTCCATTAGCTAAGAGCATCCTAAATAGAAATGCCATTCACTATAGGTCACTATCTCTCCCTAAACAATTAATAGAAGCTTTTGACTCCAAAGTTATTAGACTGAATTATTAGGGAGAGATCAAGGTCAACATTTTTGTACTTCCCTTCTACAAGAGTCTCTGTGCTGGAATTGAGGCAATAAAAGATTAAACTCCGTTCTTAATCAAGTCCTATGTGTCTAGATTTCCTCCCTTTTTCACCACCACCACTGGCAATAGCAACAATACTATTATTACCATTACCATCATCATGACCTGCATGATTGCCTTGACCATAAACATCACCTTCCCTCTACCACCATAACCATCTCAATCACCACTCTATACCTGACTCTTGAAAAACACAGATTTAAATTGTGCAGGTTCACTTACATGTGGATTTTCTTACCAACCCCTCCTTCCTCCTTGCCCTCCTCCTCAGCCTACTTAACGTAAAGATGATGAGGATGATCCACTTACACTTAATGAATAGTAAATAATTTTCTCCTTTTATAATTTTCTTCATAACATTTTCTTTTCTATGGCTTACTTTATACTAAGAATACAGTATATAATACATATACAAAATATATATTAATCAACTTTACACTGTCAGTAAGACTTCTAGTGAACAGTAGGCTATTAGTAGTTAAGTTTTGGGGGAGTCAAAAGTATGTAGATTTTCAACTGTGTGGGGGTCAGTGTTCATAACTCCCATATTTTCAAAGGGTCAACTGTATCACCATCACTACTATCATCAACATCACAATCACCATCAACATGAAGGACCACTGTCATCACCCCAACAGTAATGATCACTATCACTATAGCCATCACTACTTATTTGTTGGCTTTTCTGAGGCTCTGTGGCAATTGTCTGAAAAGCTGCCAAAGCTCTCTAAAGTTCTTTATCTTGGGAATTCTATAGGCATGTCTGCCAGCTGTCTGCTTCTGGCTTTTTTTGTGTGCTAGCGAGGTAGCCTTTCCCCCAATTTCTAGAGAAAAGTATAGAAAAAACTCATGTCCAACTCCTGATCTCTTGCTTCCACCCAGCCCAACTATAGGCTCTGACATTGGCATCTTCAGGTTTGGGATTGATCCTGAGCTTTGTTAAGCACATTGGCAAGCTTCTGTAATATTGTTTCCACCCTTTTCATCCTATTGCTTCATTTTGTCTCCAGAGAAAACTCTCCGTTCTACTTCCTGAACCCTAGTGCCATCCAGACAACTCTTACTTGTGAAAAGCGGGGATGAGATTATAATGGACCTCTTGCCTTTATCACCTTCTTTAGGTCCTTGGCTATCCTGTGACCAAAAAACTCTAAAGTCAGAAAAGTTTTCTATCCACTTGGCACCCCAGTAAGAGACTGAACATTTTGGAACCAGTTGGTTTCTCACCCTCCAGAAATGGGAGGTTTCTGTTGAACCAGAACAGCAGGGATGGATTGCCTTCACTTGGAGGTTGTGTCAGGGCAATGGTGGAAGTCTTCTTGCAGTAGCTTTATGATCCATCGCTGCTCCCTGAGTGGAAAATAGAAGCATTGTGCCATGCCTTCACAAACAACTTTGGCCACAAAAGCATAGCCTTCCTAAAGGCTTTCCATTTTCTTTGTGAACTGAATATGCTCTAATACAGAACAGAGAGAGAATGGAAATCGGATTTTAAAAAGTAGGCAGGGCATGGTGGCTCATGCTTGTAATCTCAACACTTTGAGAGGTCAAGGTAGGAGGATCGCATGAGCCCAGAAGTTGGAGACCAGCCTAGGCAACATAGTGAGCCCTCATCTTTACAAAATAAAGTTTGAAAATTAGCCTGGTGTGGTGGCAAACAACTTTGGTTCTCGCTATTCAAGAGGCTGAAGTAGGAGGACTGCTTGACTCAGGAGGTCAAGGCTGCAGTGGGCCATGATCGTGCCACTGCACTCCAAACCGAGCAATAGAACAAGATTCCATCTCAAAAATAAAATTAAAAAGTAATAATGCTTTCCCAGTAGTTAGAAGCACTTCTATAGTAGAAACTAGAAGCAAAAAATTGAAAACCTGAATGTCTTAAGTAAATAAAAAACTAACTTTTGGTTTATCTGGATTGAATGAAAGTAGTATATAGTATAGGTGGAAGCAGGGCACGGTGACTTTAAGTACAAATTCCAGAACCAAACTGCTTGAGTTTAAACTTAGTTCCTCTGCTTATTATGTGACCTTGGTTAAGTTCCTTAACCTCTTGAGACCTTAATTTGTCCATCGGTAAAATGGGAATAATAACAGTACCTACCTCATAAAGTTATGAGGCTTAAAATGATTAATGAATGAACAGTACTTAGAACAGTGTCTAGCACCTGTGAGTTCTATTATGCCAAAAGTTGTTTGAGTTGTATGTCACTTGGCTTTTTCAGACAGTCATAGCAGTAATGTTCTTGTGAGCCCATTTCTGGATAAGAAAGAGCCAAAGCATCTACTTTAGTATGAAGGGATCCTCTAGTTTTTCCATCACACACTTCAAGGGAGAGGGCCTCACAGGGCAAAGGGTTCTTAACTTGCCATCTCTGAGAATCATCTAATATGCTTGTCAAAATTCAAGAGGTTTGAGAAAGGGTCCAGAATCTAGTTTTCACACTCCCAAGTGGTCATAAGGGTCAGGGAAGTTGTAAAATGTTACAGTAGCATAGGAGTTGGCAAATTATGGCTTGTAGGCCAAACTGTACAGTGTTTTCTTTTTTCCTTACAAACAGAAGTCTGGTGTGGTTCAGGTACTGGTGACCACTTGCTTAATGGATAACTCCTATTCCCTAGGGAGTGAATGTTGGTTCAAAGCATTCGTAATGAATCTGTCCCCCTTGCCAAGGATTGGTTTAGGCATGGTCTTGTGATGCAACCCAGGATAGTAAGACATAAATGGAAATCCACTAGAGTGTTACTGTAAGCTTTTTCTAACTCTTATAAGAGAGAAAAGGTACTTCACAAGGATCATCCCTTTCTATATTTGAATGTGGCAAATATGATGTGGTATGTGAAACTAGAGCAGTCCCTGCAATCATGAGGGAAGAGCCAAGAGAATCACACAGAATCCTTGTAAATGTTGCACCTTTGAATTAGTCAATCTTGAGTTAATGTGTTCTAGATTTCTGTTAGGAGAGATATATAATTCATTTTACTAATTATAATTTAAGATACTTTTATGTGTCTTTACTGAAACAATCTCATCACCCTGACCCTCTACACAAGACTCTTCGGAGAACAGTATAATAGAGAACAAAGTTAAATAGATGTCCCATCCTTCAATGCAAAGCATCAAAATGAGGTCTTCTGGTAAGAAGTCCTGATTATGAACAATAAAAAAGCTGGTTAAAGCTGGGATTATTCTTAATAAGGTTTGAGACCTTAACAATGTCTTTATGAAAGATAATATTCTTTATGAACAAGGGGCTAAAGAAAACTCTGAGCTGGTTCTGAGCTGGTTAATAAATGCTTTTCTAACTAGCTTGGTACCCTTCACCATGAAAGAACAAAAGAACACCTAAAGGGCACTTGAGTCTGCAAAGTAAATTTACCATTAGGTAACCTCAATGCTAAAATTTTCCATCCTACATCTTTTTTACTAACCAATTTGCCTCCTCCTCTATCTTCCACAAGAGATCTGTTTTATTGGGCTATGTAACTGTAGTGCTTGCCATTATTCAGTATTTAACTGCTCCTTTGAAGAAAGCTTACTTTAAATGGGGTTTGTCTTTAGCATGTAGATATACCACTTTTGAAAAGCCACTGGTAGTTTACTCTCTTGGAATTTCACATAACTTTTAACTTTTTCAACAGGCTTTGTAAATTTTTCACATTTGTAGAGCTCGTTTTAATTATTAATTTATATCAAAACAGTCCCCTGATTCTCCAATATCATTACTATTATTTTTGCTATTTGTATTAGTTTTCTATTGCAGCTATTATAAGTTACAGCTTAGCAACTTTAAACAACACAAATTTATACTTACAGTTCTGGAGGTCAGAGTCCCAAAATCAAGGTGTTGGCAGGGCTGTGCTCATTCTGGATGCTCATTCTGGATGCTCTAGGGGAGAAGGTGTTTTCTTACATTTTCTAGCTCCTAAAGGCCAACTGCATTCCTTGCCTCATGGTCTCAACCACCATCTTTAAAGTCAGCAGTGCAGAGCATCTTTACATCTCTGACTTGTCTCCTTATAAAGACCTCTGTGACTACACTAGGCCCACTAGAAGATAACCTCAGAAGTTAAGATTCCTAATCAACAGTGCTTTTTTGCCATATAAGGTTACATATTGACAGGTTCTTGGGATTAGGCCCACCTTTGTGGGCCATTATTCAGCCTACCACACTGCTTACTATTCCTTATGCTGCTGCTACTACTGCTATTCTTACTACCACTCATTAAAATTTGATTGTATATCAAGAGCCAGGCGTTCTTCTGTGTTACATTCTTTATCTCAGCCCACAAGCCACATACTCAAATTGTCCAAATAACTTTCTTGGACAGGCTTGTGACTAAGCCATTGCTTTCTGATAAGTAAATTACACTAATTTATCACAAAATTGAGTAACAATGGCTCACAAAATCTACATTACCACTCCTAACTAGCACTAACTTGTGTGTGCCTATGTTGTTAATAATTATAAATAAGACTGCAAACTTGTAGCTTAGAAAATATAGTCATAAATCTATAGTAATGGATAGAAATTGGCGTTTAGAAGTCCAGCTACATTTATGAGTGGTTGGAATTAATGCTTATAGATACCGGGTTCAATTAGCTTAGACCACTGAGACTACAGGGAATAGTTAATTACACCCAGCTTAGAAACTAAGACTTAAACCCTTGACCAAAATACTGTAAAACACATAACCTTCAAGTGAGACCTTTGTCAAAAAAGGTTAATGCCCCAAATCTATCACTGCTGTTCAAAAAACAACTTATAAACTGATGTTTGCACAATAATTTCATATTCTTATTAAAGAGTACATTATATAGTTTGAGTAGCACCTGTTTAGTGTACTCTTGCCACTCAAATCTGTTCAATGAGATCTTTAATATACTGTGAAACACTTTGAAGAGCAGCTCTGATGTATCTAACATGAGGCCCACCAAATGACAATTCGGCACCTAAGACTTGCTAAGCATTAGAAGGGTTAGAGGCTCTTGACCTGGGTTGAACCTATTAGCTATCTGATTTAAGGCTATTTTAAGATTGGATATAATTAAGGAGATGAGCCTAGTTAAAAAAGGAAATCATTTAAACATGAATATAGAAATAGTTTAGCCCAGTGGTGCTAGCCTGTTAATTATGAACACCAGTAGCATACAGGAATTATCATGAGGAACCCATAAATCCATTTAAGCACCAAATATATCTATATATTAAGTATATCCCACATATCAAACATAAATACATATATTTGTGATGAGTAATCCAAGTTTGATTTTTAAAAAATCATCGAGTTCCTGGTAGCTTTTGGTCATTCTGCATTCTATAAATCATTAATTAAGAATTACTATGAGAATCGATGAAATTGACATATTTAAAATGGCTGGGCACTGCTCCTCTAGCTTGAAGAATTTGGCAAGTGTTCATGAAACACTTCTACCACACAAACACTTCCATTCATGTAAGATTAAAGCTTCGAAAGAGCTGCCATCTGACAGTTCTATATAGAACTGTCATAAGATATGTGAAGAAGTGAATTAAGCAATAAAATAAGGCCAACTAATTCTGATGAAATCTTTCAATAGCATATTTTACTTTCTATACTGATAGCTTACCAGTAACTAAGATTAGAAAGCGAAAAAAGGTAAAAAGCAGTTTAATTTCTTTAACTTGACTGCAGTAAGAGTACTTAAATCAATAGATGGGATTGTTTTTAAGAATATTTTTTATGGAAAGTTTATCTGGCTTTTAAGTACATGCTATATAAGTTGTATAGCACTTTACAAAAAATTTTTGCATTGTAGGGTTTTAAAGTTAGAAAGTCTCATTTGTAGTCATTAAAAAAGAAGTCAAAACAAGAAAGATGAGAAAACTAACCATGTGGAAGGTTAAGTGATTTGTTCAAGGCTGTATAGTTACAATAGAAGAGCTTAAGCTATTTTTTTTTAAACCACATGGTAATAGCAACAACATACGAAGTATGGATTAGATTCTAGAAAAGTGCCATGTAGGATTTTCGAAAATGTGTTTTGACTGTTAGATTCAAACCAAGGAAACCTAGAAACATCTTGCAGTAATCTTACTTTCCTTAAATGAAGGAGGAAAAAAGCCTCTAATTTAAATTGACAGTATGGCATTGGATTTCTATTTAGTCATTTTCAGACCTTATATAATAAAAATTCTTTTAAAGTATTTCAGGCCCTAGTGATTGTTTTTATAACCAAATAATTGTTTACTGAAACAGACAGGTTTGTAACAAGATGCAGAGATGGGCATTAAGATTCATAATTCTGAGGATCCAATATTTATAAACTTTGCAAACATACAGAATCTTCCTGTCTATAGGATTACATGACTTTGGAATCTCAGGGAGTTTGTAGAATTTTCCTGGAAATCTTAACTATAGTTTAAGAGCAAGTTCCAGCTTCTTGAAATGGTGTAAATTTCAGCTGTGCTGGTAGAAGTTAACGAATGCCATTTAGTATGTTTTAAATCCATAGAACCATTACAAAATTTAGACTGATTCTATAGTTATTACCTAGTTTAAACAACATACAATACCAAATCAGGAACTTAAAAATCATTACACTGGGGCTAAAAGCACTTTTAGAGATGCTTATGTATACTAATCAATCAGTTGACTTTTTAAGTTAGCTGAAATTTAATGTGTTGAGAGCTGATAAGACTTCTACAAATCCTTCTCCTCCCCCCAACTTTTTTTTTTTTTGAGACAGGTTTCACTCTGTTGCCCAGGCTGGAAGTGCTGTAGTGCAACCTCAGCTCACTGCAACCTCTGCATCGTGGGCTCAAGCCTCAGCCTCCTGAGTAGCTGGGACCACAGACACACATTACCACACCCAGCTAATTTCTGTATTTTTTGTAGAGATGGAGTTTTGCCATGCTGCCCAGGCTGGTCTCAAACTCCTGAGCTCAAGCAATCTGCCTGCTTCAGCCTCCAAAAGTGATGGGTTTATAGGCATGAACCACCATGCCTGGCCATACAATTTCTTTTATATCTCCTTCACACCCAGTCAAAGGGACAACCTGCTTATGTTTTTCTCTGCAGCTGTCTGCTGATACATTTCCCGTACGGGAAACACTTGGGACTGGAAGAGTTTCAGATTTCAGGTTTTTAAGTATTTGCATATTTCCCAGTTGAGCATTCCTAATCTGAAAATCCAGAATCTGAAGTGTTCCAATGAGGATTTCCTTTTAGTACCATGTTGATGTTCAAAAAGTTTTAGAATTTGGAGCATTTCAGATTTTCCAATTAGAGATACTCAACCTATAGAAAATTTGTCCCAGCCAGGTACAGTGGCTGACACCTGTAATCCCAGCACTTCGGGAGGCCGAGGTGGGCAGATCACAAGGTCAAGAGATCAAGACCATCCTGGCCAACATGGTGAAACCCCATCTCCACTAAAAATATGAAAACTGGCTAGGCGTGGTGGCGTGCATCTGTAGTCCCAGCTACTTGGGAGGCTGACACAGGAGAATCACTTGAACCCGGGAGGTGAAGGGTGCAGTGAGCTGTGATCACACCACTGCACTCCAGCCTGGTAATAGAATGAGACTCTGTCTCGAAAAACAAAACAAAAAACTCATCCCTTTCCTCCAAATATTACCTGCAAAATAAAATATCGACTATTCTCTTGTGGATAGTGGACTGCTAGATAATGTATTTTCTGTAGATTCCCACTGCAGGAAAGCTTAAGCAGCAGGTTCTGTTTACGTCTGTTCATTCATACATTTAACCAACCAACCAACATTTACAGTCACCAATTATGTGTTAATTCAGTGATCTTAAATGGAACCAAAACAACAACAAAGTTTTAAAGAATTACCATAACTTTTATTTTTGCTTAGTTTTATTAAAAAAATAAATATGTCATAAAGCTTTCTTTTTCCTTAGGGAGAAAATAAGGAACAAGTCTCATAAAATCAAATAAGCAATGGTAAGGTGTCTTAACATGAAAAAGATTAGGAGTCACTGGTTTACAAGTTATAATTGAATGAAAGAACTGTAACAGCCACAGTTGGCCATTTCATGCCAATGGCAGCAAACAACAGGATTAACTAGGGCAAAATAAATAACTGTGTGGAAGCCCTGATAAGTGCTTAATAAACAGACTGATTCACTGAGACATCAGTATAGATACATCTTGCTTTAAACAACACAGAAGTTCCTGAAAAGTTTTGTGTAAATGATATAACCACAAACATACCGAGAGAGCTTGGTAACTGAAAGAATTCCATGGTGAATTCTTTTCTGAACAACCACTTTCACTTTTGTAAATCCAGGTATTTGCTTTCTATAAGGAGTATACTTAGTTGCTACCTCTCTGAACTGAGGAAACAGCAAATTTACCAGACAGTGCTCCAACTGGGCCACTGGCACAGTTTCCAAGTTTGTGTTTCTATTAAGTAAGTAGTGTAAGTAAGGTACAGAGTCAGCCAGGGAACCCAGCTGTATCTGGCAAAGCAGGTGTAGGGGTGGGACTGCCATCTACCAGTAATTCCAGCAAATACTTTTGTGACTCTACTTTGTGCAAAACACAGTAATAAACCTTATCAATTTGGCTGTAGATGTACTTCCTTTTTCTAAAACTTTCAGTCATAAGCTAGGTCTGGAACCCCAAAAGAAAGTAATACTTCTAATCCTCAAAACTGGCTTTAACCAAAGTAGTTGCCCAACTCCTTCAAACTGGAATGGATGATAATGAAAGAGACTGAGTTTTCCAAAGCTGAAGTTTAACAACACAAGAATCACCTTTCATATCACTAGTTAGTGAAAAATTTTGCTGGTGACAAAAACTTTTCAAATGGTTGTTTTATTTTTGTTATTGTTTTTTTAACTTCCTCTAAACAGAACTCTGAATTCTTGGGCAAACTGCAGAAGTTAGTCACTGATGTTTTCTGGTTGATTGGTTGATATATTTCAGTACTGCTGATAGAAATAAAAATTTCTTTCCACCCACCAGAATTTCATGAACTTATATTATACCAAAGCAGTGATGTTTTGGACAGAGAATATGCATGGCAGTACTATTTCCAGTGAGTTTTATCAAATGTAAATAAATAAACAGAATCCTCACTTTGCTCACAGCCTCCATTCCATTTGGCCAACTTCTACCAGACCCAAGCCACATTTAAATTAGGCTGTTCAGTTTTTTTATTTAATGCTCCTAATAACATTGCTGTCTATATGTACAAGTGTGAATGAAAAGAGCATGTAATCTGTAGTCTTTTCCACACTGAGTACACTAACAATTAGTAAATAATTAAAGAGTAAGTGATCATTTAAAAAAAAAAATTTCTAGCACTTTAAAAAACGGGTCTGAAAAGTGCCCTATTAATGTCCAATGCTGTTCCCCACCCAGTCCCACCCATTCAAAACCTGCTACAAATGCTGAATTGTGTTCATATCAAATAATTTAGCAGTACCAAGATTTTTCAAATGGAAACAGTGTTATTGACTTCTTCATATTGAATAACAAAATAAGGGTAACTCTGGTCATCATTAAAAATGACAAAAATCTGAGGCTCAAAGAAATTATCCACACAAGAGTCATAAAGGTCACTGGTAACACTTCCAGGATTGACTGGAGGGGGCCTTCTCATGCCATGACTGCCCATTGTGTATCTGCCAGTCAGCACTTTGGCCAGAAACATGAAATGGACTCCTTTGGAGGACTTCTTAGAAAAGTTATGAGAGTAGCTTGCCTTCTTTGCAAAATAACTGCCTTGTCCAAACATTGTAGCATGCTTTCCACAGACTCGAGGGTCAAAGTTGTGTTTGCAGATTCCATCTACCACATCCTGGGATGTTCCATGAAATAAATGTCTCTCATTTATTATCCTGTCACGGCCAAACATTTTCCTGTTCATATATTCCTTTTTCCTAATGCAAAGAGCAGACAGGGAATTCAGAAGGATGAAATACAAGACAATTTAACAGGCATGATGTAGTCATAAACTTCTCTTTATGGTTTTAATGAAGAGGAAATATTAAACTAGTTATTATCAAGGGAAAAATGCCATCAAAGATCCTAATAAAAGTTTAAACTTATCTTTCCACTGAAGAAAAGCCCCTTTCCTTCTTTTGCCACCAATCATTTACTTGCTTTATTTTCCATGTTAAATCTATTAAGAGTTCTCCTATCTTTTCCTTCCTTAGGATGTCCTCCTTGCCTAATTCCTCCAATCTGAAGATCTCTTAGATTCTAAGATTCCTGAAATCTAAATGTATTCCCTCCCTTTGTAGTACATTCGTTGGCTGACTTGAGAGACACCATAGTAAAGTGATTAAGAGCAAGGCCTCTGGTGCCAGATTGCCTGGGTTCAAATTCCAGCACCATATCTTATAGCTGCATGACCTACAGCAAGTAAGTTTCCTGTGACTCAGTTTCTTCTTCTCTGTAAAATGTAAATTGTAATAATCCTACTCATGTCTGTTATGAGGATTATATGTCAGTTAATACATGGAAAAATATGAACATAAATTGTATGCAAATGTTTACTATTATGTTCCTCATTTGACATTAGCTAAAAAATAAAGCTCTCTTGAACTTTTCACACATCTGACTCACCTTTTATATTTCTCCCAAAGAAACTGGTTTTGGACTCTCAATATCTGCAAAATTCTATATTTAAACTCAGGCACAGTCTTATGAAAAAGATTGTAAATGATCCTATAACTTTTATCCTCTGCAGAAACAGGCACTTGGATGAAGTCCTGAGATGGATGCATATAAACCCAAGTTTCAGGGTAAAAGTTTGCTGAAGTGACCCCATCTGGGCAGATAATTTGTGATGATGAACCTGCTTCAAGAGGTGGAGGAGCTTGTGTGGGAACCCCACCAAGTGTCCTAAAATGAAGAGGAAGAAACATTAATGTAAAACATTAAGAAATAAGTACAACTCACATTATAGGACTCTATATCAGTGTCTACTTAATATAATCTGTATAGCTTTAGTGCTTATTTAAAAAATAAAAAATGCTATCTATTTAAGAAAAAAAAAAGTCTTAAACACTGCCTGTACATGAATAGCCTAATATTAGCCTCCTCTGGGCCTCCTTCCTATGGACAAAACTCCGAAATGTATAGCTACAAGGCAAAGAAGCAAGAGCCAATTCAAAAATACCTTTACTTTTGAATCCTAGACTCCTCTTTATTACCTATAGCTAAAGAAACTTTGTTATATGTTTTCTTCAAAATGTGCTGATACTAAGCAGAGAAGATTTCATTACTAAAGGATATGTGGGTGGGAGACAAAGTAAGGCAGGCAGCAAGGAGGGAGCTTATAGGGAGAAAAAAAAAGCTACTTTAATTTCTGTATAAAAACAAAAATCATGGAGCAGGATCTGAACACTGATAAATATTTGATATTTGTTTCATTTTCCAAGATTACATATAGAAGCAAAACCAATACTATTGAACTTTTAGAGCTATGAGTGTGCTTAAGATGAAGCTAATTACTATGAACTCTAGATACCAGAATGCATATCCGTGGGCCTTTAAATTCATGTTTGTTATTTTGAATAATGATTTTAGATAAGCAGCAGCTTTGGTAAGTTACTTATTCCTGCCTAGTTAAATGCTTAAATTTAAATCACATTTCTTGGCCATTTTCAAAACAGAGGAAAAAAGAAAGTAGAGAGCAAGGAAATCCTGACCCTGAGACTTAGTTTCAGGGCCAGGTACTATAACACTCATTGGCATATACTGGTCACAAGGAAGTAATAATGTGTGCCAAAATGGATTAGGAAACTGAAATTTTCATAAGAGCTTTGTGACACAGAGACTACAACTTTGTGTGAACATGTGTCTCATCTCCAAAGAGCATAGCTGACCATCTCTCTCATCATAATCATAGCCAATAAATATTATGCACCAGTCATTTTACATACAGTATCACTAATTGTCACAATAACCCTTAAAAAGACTTGGTTTTCCCCACTTTTCAAATGAAGAAACTGAGGTTTACATAGATTAAATAATTTGCCCAAATATCACTAGTAAAGAGCAAAGACAGGATTTGAATCTAGGCCGGGCCCATCTAGGTAGTTTCTAATCTCATACTCTTTTTAGTTCCATATATTTCACAAGCTTTTCTTTCTTCTTTTTTTTTTTTTAAACAAGGCTGCAAAGTGACAGACAAGATATCAGGACTCCAACCTGGTTTTGCCTGACTCTCACCACCACCACAAGCACAAGCACCAGCACCAGTTGGAGAAACCAGCACACTACATTATTATCATCATCACACAGTCTTTTAAGGGATGACTTTAAAAAAACAAAAAGCTGATTCTGTACATTACTTTGGGCAGTATAGCCATTTTCACGATATTAATTCTTCCTAACCATGAACATGGAATGTTTCTCCATCTGTTTGTGTCCTCTCTGATTTCGTTGAGCAGTGGTTTGTAGTTCTCCTTGAAGAGGTCCCTTATGTTCCTTGTGAGTTGTATTCCAAGGTATTTTATTCTTTTTGTAGCAATTGCAAATGGCAGTTCGGAAATCTAGGCAAAACTATCCAGGACATAGGAGTAGGCAAGGACTTCATGAACAAAACACCAAAAGCATTGGCAACAAAAGCCAAAATAGACAAATGGGACCTAATGAAACTCCACAGCTTCTGCACGGCAAAAGAAACAGTCACTAGAGTGGATCGGCAACCAACAGAATGGGAAAAAATTTTTGCAGTTTACCCATCTGACAAAGGGCTGATATCCAGAATTTACAAAGAACTCAAACAGATTTACAGGAAAAAAACAAGCCCATTCAAAAGTGGGCAAAGGATATGAACAGACATTTTACGAAAGAAGACATATATGAGGCCAACAATCATATGAAAAAATGCTCATCGTCACTGGTCATCAGAGAGATGCAAATCAAAACCACATTGAGATACCATCTCACGCCAGTTAGAATGGCGATCATTAAAAAATCTGGAGACAACAGATGCTGGAGAGGATGCGGAGAAAAAGGAACACTTTTACACTGTTGGTGGGAGTGTAAATTAGTTCAACCATTGTGGAAGACAGTGTGGCGATTCCTCAAGGCCTTAGAAATAGAAATTCCATTTGACCCAGCAATCCCATTACTGGGTATATAGCCAAAAGACTATAAATCGTTCTACTATAAGGACACATGTACACGAATGTTCATTGCAGCACTGTTTACAATAGCAAAGACCTGGAATCAACCCAAATGCCCATTGATAATAGACTGGATTGGAAAAATGTGGCACATATACACCATGGAATATTATGCAGCAATCAGAAATGATGAGTTTGTGTCGTTTGTAGGGACATGGATGAATCTGGAGAACATCATCCTCAGCAAACTGACACAAGAACAGAAAATGAAACACCGCATATTCTCACTCATAGGCGGGTGATGAAAAATGAGAACACATGGACACAGAGAGAAGAGTACTAAACACTGGGGTCTATTGGGGGGAAAAGGGGAGGGCCAGTGGGAGGGGGAGGTGGGGAGGGATAGCCTGGGGAGAAATGCCAAATGTGGGTGAAGGGGAGAAGAAAAGCAAAGCACACTGCCATGTGTGTACCTATGCAACTGTCTTGCATGCTCTGCTCATGTACCCCAAAACCTAAAATCCAATAAAAAATTAAAAAAAAAAAAAAAAGCTGTGGAAGCATGACTGCTTTCTCTAGCCCCACCTTCTACAAGTGACTGTGCCTTCAATTTAATGTGCTTCAGAGTCTCTTTGTGAGACAGAGTCCTGGAAGGGTGGATACAGGGCTTACTGAATCTCTGAGGTGCTTTTAAGTACAGGGGCAGATTTAAAGTGCTGCTGGTTTCTCCAACTGTCACAACAAAAGGCACAACAGTTCTTGTCCTCTGTAGCATTTTCTCAGAGCCCACACAGATTCCTTTGGATCCTCAGTACTGATACATTCTTCACTGGTACACTTTCATGAAGAGAGGCCTCACTGCTTTAATCAGATTCTCAAAGATCTGTAACTCCTTAAAAAGCCAGCACTATTCTGGACGAATGGTTGGGAAGCAAACAATATAAGCCCCTTATTTTTATTTAATAGCTCTTCCCTCTATCCAGATTTGCAAAGAAAAGAGTGAGTCCCCAGCCCACCAGGTTTTCTATTATTACCAGGGGTTAAAGTTAACAACAAAGCCTTCTTGTTTGAAGGAGAAAGGTAAGATTCTCTCCAAGCACTCTGCCCAAGAGGTTTTAGACTGTCAGCCTGTACAGCAAACCTAACCCTAACAGAAGAGATTCTGCCCTTTTCTTTCTGATTATCACTACTATGCACCCATTCCTTAAAATGAAAGCTTCAAATATAGCTTTTCCTTTTTTGGGGGGGATGGAGATCTGTTATTACTAACATATGCTTGAAGATGAGCTGAGATAAACAATTCCTATCCATTCTAAGACATTAAATTGGACTAAGTATATGATAAACATCCATTCCAACCCACAGATGCTTACTTTTTAACAAGCCAACATCCTAACTGGCCTAAAACACAAATATGCATATACACATCTGTCTGATGGGCTTCAAGACTCTAGTTGCCATGGGTTAAAAATATATATTCTAAGCACAGTTACAAATGTACCTTTATTTTCTGAGAATGATGAGTTTGTATTCACCTCATGGGTATTCCAAAGATATATGGCATGTGTCACCATACCACACCAGCCTTCTCTAGAGAGGCCAAGTCAAAGGGAATTGAGCTTCTATGAAAAGATCTCTGAAGAATGGATTTTCAGAATCAAAGGCCACCTTTTATAACTCTCCCTCCTTCCCCTTACCATTTAGAAGGATGTTTATTAAACCAATTTCAGTGATGAAATAAAAATTCATTCATTATCCTTTTGGGGGGAATTAAAGAAACCCTGTCAGACATTCTCATGACCATGATGTGATTGCATGGGATGGATATTCTTTCAGCTGAAAGCACTGAACCCCCTAACCCCTAAATCTGAGCTTTGTTTGCTTATGCAGTCTCAGTTCAAGAATTCTAAGATTATTAAAGAATAAGCTCCTTTTTATCAGCCCCATTAAAAAGCAGGAGAGACCTTTTAAAAAATAGCTGAATTTGCAGGAAATTCATTAATTAACATCAATCTCCTACCCTACCCCTTCCACTCTTAGACATCTCTGATTCCCTGAGAATTGTGTCCTCTTTAACACCTAGTTTTTCTCTGACCCTTTGCATTTAATAACAACTTTAAAACGCAAGATCATGCCTGTAATCCCAGCTACTTGGGAGGCTGAGGCAAGAAGACTGCTTGAGGAAGGAGTTCAGGATCAGCCTCAGCAACACAGTGAGACCTTGCTTCTACCAAAGAAAAAGAAAGAAAAAATAAGCTGGGCATGGCAGCATGTACCTGTAGTCCCAGCTACTTGGGAGGCTGAGGCAGGAGGATCACTTATAGTATTTTTACTGGTGAGAGGGTCTTGCCTTGATGATGGCCTGACTGATGAGGGTGGTGGCTGCTAAACTGGCAGTGGCAATTTATTAAAATAAGACAACAGTGAAGTTTGCCACATCAACTGACCCTTCCTTTCACGAAAGATTTCTCTGCTGCATGCAGTACCATTTAAAAGCATTTTACCCACAGTAGAACTTCTTTCAAAATTGCAGTCAATCCTCCCAAACCTTGTGGTTGCTTTATCAACTAAGTTGAGGTAATATTCTAAACGCTTTGCTATTATTTCAAAATTCTTTACAGCATCTTCACCATTAGATTTCATCTCAAGAAACTCCTTTCTTTGCTCATCCAAAAGAAGCAACTCCTCATGCATCCAAGTTTTATCATGAGACAGTAGCAATTCAGTCACATCTTCAGGCTACACTTCTAATTCTACCTCTCTTGTTATTGCCACCACATCTGCAGTGACTTCCTCCACTGAAGTCTTGAACCCCTCAAAATCATCCACGTGGGCTGAAATAAACTTCCAAATTTCTGTTAATGTTGGTATGTTGGCCCCCTCCCATGAATCATAATGTTCTTGATGGCATCTAAAATGGTAAATCCTTTCCAAAAGTTTTCCAATTTACTTTGCCCAGATCCATTAAAGGGATTGCTATGTAGGGCAGCTATAGCCTTACAAAATGTACTGTTAAAATAGGAAGTCTTGAAAGTCAAAATTACTCCTTGATAAGTGGGCTGCAGAATGGATTTTGTATAGCAGGCATGAAAACACTAATCTCCTATACATCTCCATTTGGGCTCTTGGGTGACCAGGTGCATTGTCAATGAGCAGTAATAGTTTGAAATAAATCTTTTCTTCTTGAGCAGGTCCCAATAGTGGGCTTAAAATATTCAGCAAACCATGCCATCAACACATGTGCTGTCATCCAGGCTTTGTTTTTCCATTTATAGAGCACAGACAGAATAGATTTAGCATAATTCTTAAGGGACTTAGGCTTCGACTTAAAGTCATCAGCTACATGAGCCTCTGACAAGAGTCAGCCCTGTCCTTTGAAGTCAAGCATTGACTTCTCTCTACATGGAAGTCCTAGATGACATTGTCTTCTAATAGAAGGTTGTTTTGTCTACATTGAAAATCTCTAGTTCAGCCACCTTCATCAATGATCTCAGCTAGACTTCCAGATAACTTGCTACAGCTTCTACATTAACACTTACTGGTTCACCTTGCACTTTTGTATTATGGAGATGTCCTCTTAAACCTCATGAACCAACCTCTGCTAGGTTTAAACTTTTCTTCTGCAGCTTTTTCACCTCTCTCAGCCTTGATAGAACTTAAAAAAGTTATGGCCTTGTTCCGGATTAGGCTTTGGCTTAAGGGAATGTTGTGGCTGGTTAGATCTTTTATCCAGACCACTAAAACTTTCTCTATATTAGCAAGGCAGCTATTTTAGTTTCTTATAATTTGTGTGCTTACTACAATAGCATGTTTAATTTCCTTCAAGAACTTTTCCTTTGTATTTGCAACATGGCTAATGTTAAGGCACAAGAGGCCTAGCTTTTGGCTTATCTCAGCTTTTGACATGCCTTCTTCACTAAGCTTAATCATTTCAGGCTTTTGATTTAAAGTTAGAGATGTGTAACTCTTCCTTTCACTTGAACACTTAGCATCCATTGTAAGGTTGTTAACTGGCCTAATTTCAATATTGTTTTGTCTCAGCAAATAGGGAGGCCCAAGCGGGGAGAGAGAGAGAGGGAAATGCCAGTCCATGGAGCAGTCAGAACACACAGCACATTTATCAATTAAGTTTTCCATCTTATATGGGTGCCATTCTTAGCACCTCAAAACAACTGTAACAGTAACATCAAAGATCACTGGTTAGATCACAATAACAGATATAATAATAATGAAAAGTTTAAAATATGGCAAGAAATGTGACTCAGAAATACAAAGTAAGCACATGCTGTTGAAAAAATAGCATCAATACACTTGCTTGACCTAGGGCTGCCACAGACCTTTGATTTGGAAAGAACGCAATTATCTGTGAAGTACAATAAAGGGAAGCACAATAAAACAAGATATGCCTGTATAATGAAGACATATTTATGGCATTAATTGTATTGCTGCTTATATTAATAGTTCATACTTTTACAAAACAAGCCTAAGTTTCAAAAAAAAAAAAAAAATACAAAGAGGAGGAGGGCATATTCCATGATCTTGGGATCAAAACAAAAGCATTTTCACCACTCACTAAAACTTTCCAACAATGCAGAACTTGCATTCTTACCCTCACACAGAAGCTATATCTTGCTTGATTGGCTCAGCATGCCAAGCTGTTGGTCCCACTAATGAGTTCTACTGTCTCACCAGGAGGACAATATATTCCTAACTACTGGACACTGACACTATCTCCAGCTGTGCTAGTAAAATCACAGAAATGGCATTTTTACTAGTTCTAATTTTTTAAGAAACTCTACAAGGTAAAATTTTTCAAACAGGCACTTGGAAGGAAGTATACACTTAACCCAATCCAATATACATTTCTAAAATTAGTCTTACTACAAATTTCTTTTGGATACTGATCATTTCAGGTATTTTTATCTGTAGTTTGTTTTTAATGTTCCTCGTGCAATCACAGGATTAGAATCACTAAGATTCTGTCATAACAACTTAGGAAAAACAGTTTGAGCTAAAATAAAAACAGTAGGAATATAATAACAGTATGTTTACCTCAAAGATCAGCACAAAAAAAAACATCCATTAGACAACCTCTAAAGTTCATAAAACCAAGTAAACTTATACCATTTTCAAAATCAGGCTCTAAAAACAGCATATCTGACTGGAGTAGATAATGATTTCCCTAGAGATACTAATTATCAAAGATGGCCATGTGAATGGTAATGTGCCCACCACCTTTGGGTATCTGTAAAGATATGCCACTGGGTTATCTGGAGATGAAAGGAAGAAACCAACTCTTGCCAAAATGGAAGAAAAGCTCATCTACAATTCAGAAAGGTGTGTTCAGTCCTAACCTTATATTAAGAAACTATATTCTTAGTATGACAAGTAATTTTAGTGAGTATCATAGGAAGAGGTGCCTTACCTAGCCAGTAAGAATGTAAATTATTTTAAAGGTGAATTTTTCCCATTCAAATTCACTCAAGGACGAAGTATGGAGAAATCACCTTGTAGGACTCTCCTCACTTGCTCTGGCAATTTGGCTAAGCTGTCCGATAACACAGAAGGGTCTTATCTTGGAAGTAGTTCCATGAAAGAAGTTTCACAGAAGGAAAAACTCAATCTTCCATTAAGGAGATAAATGCAAGTTCTGTACTCATTCCAGACACAATTATATTTAGTTGTGGAAAAATGTTAACTCTAAAAAATCCAGTAAGATACTCATTCTTTTTTTTTTTTTCTCTTTTTAAAAAAAATATGGAACGCTTCACGAATTTGCGTGTCATCCTTGCGCAGGGGCCATGCTAATCTTCTCTGAGATACTCATTCTTTTAGTGTAGGATGAATTGTAACTTATTTGTACTCAATTTCTTGAGGAATTAAAAATCCAATGAATACTTTGGAATTTAACATTCTAGGGATACTAACCAAGGCAAACTTTTAATTTAAAATATTTTTCTCTCTAGTATTCAGGAGTGCATTTCCATAAAATGAGAGTAATGATAAGACTTTATACTGGACACTTACTGTAAATATGGAAGCAGTATAAAACAGGAGCGGAAGAGGGGTCTCCTTTTTATTTCTCTCCTGAAGAATGAATTGTGGAGGATGTAGTGGTTATTCCACATCATAAATCGAACTTCTTTCAGACCCCGAGAGTTGGCTTCTTCAATCAATCGAATGACAGACTATGGAGGAGAAAACAGAAGGTAACAACAAAAAAAGGAAAGTTAATAAATAATTATGGTTAAAAATGAAAATTTAACTAAAGGCAAAAGTTATCCTCACAGGAATTTCAATAAAGTACAGTGAGTCAAATTAGAGACTCTTTTTTTCCTTCCAAGTATGTAGTGTGGAAAGATACTCCCTGTTCATAAGGCATGGATTTTCACCTTACGAAACATGTGGGCCCAGGGAACCATTTTATTGTATTTTGAGCCTTAATAAGATCATAGAAGGTTTTGGTTAAGGGATTTTTCAAAAGAGGAAGTAAAGATAGTGATGTTTGCCAGTCTCAGTGGCTCACACCTGTGAATGACTTGTGAGCCACTCCCAACACTTTGGGAAGCAGAGGAAGGAGGACTGTTTGAGGCCAGGAGTTCAAGACCAGATTAGGCAACATGGCAAGATCCTCTCTCCACAAAAAATAAAAAACAAAAATTAGCCAAGTACAGTGGCATATACCTGTAGTCCCAGCTATTTGGGAGGCTGAGGCAGGAGCACTGCTTGAGCCCAGGAGTTTGAGATTATAGTGAACTATGATTGTGCCACTGTACTCCAGCCTAGGCAATAGAGCAAGAGCCTAGCTCTAAAAATGAATAAATAAATTTTGAAAAGGTGATGGTGTATAAAGTTCAAGCTTCAAGCTCCAAACCCAAAAACTTCTCAGAAAAAAAACACCGGAATGGTCCAAGTATTCTCAGAGTACATTTTAAACAACCTTCTACTCTTATTTGGAAGGTAGACACTAGTGATCCGATCTTAAGCTTACTTAGTTTAATATTGTGTTTTATAATAATTAATATACTAGGCTTTCTTCTTTTGCTGTTGTCTTAAAAAATCGAAGTGAAGGTAGATAAGTTGTTCCCTCCTTTTGTAATGCTAGAAACGAACTTAATCAAATTGAAAAAGTCAGATTTTTGGAATGTGAAATTAATCTCAAGTCCATTTGAGGATATTAAAATGACTCAGAATTGTCATTCAGAAGCAAAGTAAACCATCATCTTTTTAAAATCTTGCTTTGAGACTGAAGGGTTGTTTTCACTATCTTAGACTAAGGATGTAAATGCACATAGGAGAAAATTTTAAATAACTGATTTCCCTGACCACAGCTCAATAAACATTTTCAAGTACTTCTTCCAGAGACATAAGAGTGATTGTTTCCACCGGGCTTCTAAAATGCTAAGTGTAACACTTAATCTAATCTCCATAAGCCCAGGAGCCAGATATAATCAAAAGTCATACCAGTTCTCATCTTGTGAAAATTACTCCACAGGTGGCAACAGGTCAAAGTACTTCATTTCTATAATGTAAGATTCTGTGGAAAGAATTTTACTTAGCTAATAGTGGTAAGCTATCTTTGGATTTCAAATTAATGGAAAGAAATAAATTTTAAGAAAAATAAAAAGTTTTCTTATATCAGTGAGACTCAATTTTATATTCATAAGCTCTTTAATTATATCCATAGTTCTGCCTAGTCATTGTTGTAAAGAAAGAATAAAATAGAAGAAAAAAATTAAATTTGAAAAATGTACTTGTCAAGAAAGAACCTGTAAATACCTCAGGATACTCTCTCCATCCAAAGTGGTCCCTACAGAAGAATTTCCAGACTGTGTGGTAAATAGAGTTGACATTGCTAGAGGGTGGTGTGGACAGCCTTCGTAGTTGGTCAAATTCAGTTGTTTCATACACATTCATGGCATTCAGATCTGCCCAAAATTCTTGTCCTCTTAAAAAAAAAAAAAACCAAAAACCCTGTTAATATATTTGTAAAACAAAAATATCTAAACATCTCATTGGACATTAAAAATATATAGCATAGCCTGTTGTAGAACTCTCAAGACTTGTTTCACTTGGAGTAAAAGAATATTTATTGCTTGTTGTTTCCATAGCAACCATTTCCTATATGCCCTTTCTAATCAAGACCAAAATTTCTAGGCCATAGAATTATAGTAAGATTGATTTAACCCCACAGCACCACTGGCCTAAACCAATCAAAATAAGCCCATCTTCCACTCTACAGTGGGCTGGCCTCGGCCAATCAGGGAGTCAGTTTTATCATGAAGGTATGTAGAAACTAAACATAGACAGAAGAAAATTTCTCTTGAAGCTTGACCTTTTTTTCAGAGGCCATCAGTTTACTTGAGCCAAGATAGGAATATACAGTATTGCCTGATTAAAGACAGGATAAAAGAAGGGAATACTAAAATTACTCCAGATAAAGCCAGAACTAATCCACCCAACATCAATGTTATCTTTTATCCTGTGGGTACAAAAATATTAGCAAAACATGAAGAAAAAAATAGTCTGTATTACTATGAGGTTTAGCTTTGAGAATATTTTGGTCATCTTGTTATACGGTCCACTGCTGCTGACTTTACAAATGTCTCCATACTGTTAGAAGGGAAGTCCCACTATATGAATCAGACTCATTTAATAAATTAATTTATAAAGGGTGGTCCAATAAAAACATTTGTGTTTCCTTTTTTTAATATAACTTCATGAAACATTTGAACCAGTATTTCAAGTAACTGGCATAATGGTCATTGTACTCTTTTCTCTTCTCTCTTTTTTGTATATGTTTGAAAGTTACTTGAAGAAAATATAAAAAATGAAATATATGATAACAGCATAGTTATTGCAGCATGGTGTACCACAGATTTCTAAATGGGTGTCTATAACACAGGAAATATTCAAGATTAGTGGCATTCAGAAAGACTGGTACATGTGAGGTCTAGGTGTTCAGACAGATTTTCCCTATAATTAACTTATTTCCTGGCTGTAAATTAGAATTTTGAAAAGGGTCGTTAAATTTGATCTATGGTTACCCACTGCATTCCAGCCTGGGCAGAAAGAGTGAAACTCTGTCTTAAAAAAAAAAAAAAGAGCTTGATCTATGGGTTTTGTTAGCTAGCACATTTTCCAAAATCTGCTCTTTAAATACTTGTTTTAAAAACTATTAATAGATATTCTGTGCACAAAAGATTCTGCAGTCAAATATTTGAAAAACTGATTATACAAAGCTTAATAATTTACTTTTGGCAGTCTCTCCTTAGTCCCTTTAATATGCTAAGGTAGATACCAAAGTACTGTGATGAAGGCTATAAAAATCCTTCTAAACCTATGACAATGTTCCTCTCTCCCTTCCCCCCATGAATATCTAGTAACATCTCTCAGTACAACTTTGGCAAACATCAGGAAAAGAAAAAATCTACTTTCCATCCTCTATCCCAATGTTCACAATTTATGAATCAGGTTCTACTCTGAAAAAAAAAAAAAAAAAAACAACTCAGGTTATATAGCCAACTGATGATACCAAAAAGCATGGAACTTGTAAAAAGCAGTATATTCTTTTAAAATTATTAAAGATCTTCCCAATAAATCCCAAATTTCTTGCTTAAAAAGAATACTAACTAGTTGGATGTGGTCTCAGAAAACAACATATAATTTTATTTAAGCATGAAATAAGGCAGTAAAATGTAGTTTAAAATAGTATTTGGCCACTGTTTTAAAATGATTTATGGTAAATAGGAATATTTAATTCAAATAGAAAAATGTTTCTGGAAAATCCTAAAAAATGAAACAAACAAAACTCCTGAAAACTGGAACTCCTATGTCTAAATTAAACTTTGTATCAAGTTGCCTTAAGCAATATTCATTAACTTCATAAGAATCTGATATTATGATTAGAAAGTGAGATAAAAATCTTTCTCCCTGTTAAGACTGTTTTAAGTTTCTAAACATATTTTTCTGCCTTTAAGCTTCACCCAGCTACTTTTCCCAATTATGAGTTACAAATCCTCAGTATTTCCTTTAAGGAGTTCTTAGAACAGCAGTCATTATGTTAACATGCATTATAATATAAACACCCAATGCTTTTTGCTGTTTAGTGTCAGATTTTATTCTGGACATCACTCTAGCAATTTCTGTGTAAGCCTGTATTACTGAGACTTCATAGATAACGATTTGCATGAGAAAGACATTTACAACTGCAGCTTTTGCTACATTCTCTGTGCATGTCAGTCCTTTGGGCATTATGAAGTTTCTATGACAAATCCTAATTTGCTACAATCAACTGTTCTTTGGACTGATGTATCAAAGTACTCTTTTAGCTCTATTTGGTTTTCAATATGCTTTTTCTAAACCTGACAGAGACAAAATCGCAAATTTGAAAAACATTAAATCGTCTTTTTATAAGATTAATTTTACCACCTGCTCTCCCTTAAACAGGGAATGCTTTAAAAATCTAAACCCAAGAGGGTTTTTCCTCTACAATCTGCATCAGTATAAATATGTGCAATATGGATGCCAAATGTTCAAGAGCCACCACACTCTTCTTTATCAAACTATTGTTTCTTATTATCAGAAAGCAGTTATGAGTCATCTGTGTGTGGTAATCATGATGGTAGGCTCTACTGGGCAATAAACAAAGAATTAAACAGATGTAGGCCTGTCTTCCAGGGGCTTTAAGAAAGGAATAACTAACAAAATGTAAGCCAAAGAAGCAGTACATCTGCCTATCTAAACTCATCAGTGGCAAGTACATTCAGGAAATAAGAGGACAAAGGATAGACATGCAGCAATATGGGAGAAGAGATGGTTATTGGCATCCAGTAATGGAAAAAGGTCAGGAAAATTAACAGGTTTTACTCTATCAATTTAAGATACCTTTTAACAAGAAAAAGAATTTTAGGAGCAGTTTAAATAACAGGAAATATCACTGGTAAGTAAAGAGTTGTGTGTAAGAACAAGGGAAAAGGGTCTCCAAGCACTTTGCTTCTTGAAAGATGGGTGGAGCAGGATCGGTCCAAGTAGTTGGAAAAGGAGACCTAAACAGGGGTATCTGAGAGATGAGGAAATGTGAACCTATAAATTCCTGTAAGTGGGTAACAAGCAATGTGAGAGATGTCAGGCAATGAACTGAGGATGTTTTAAGTCCAGGGTCTCATAGCCTTAAGATATAAGGGTAGGAATTTACAGTATTGAGCAGATGAAGTTAGAGTCAAAGCATTAAATACAGGCTATTGGAAAACTAAGCAGTAAATATAGAATGTTAGAAACTGAGCAAGAGAGACAGTGCTAAAGATTGGGGGTGTCTTTGTAAAAGCAAGGTGCAATAATCTTTGGAGATTAGAACCCCATCTGGCCTAAAAGGCATCTCTACTGAGGGATGGCCAAAAAAAGAGTGTGAGTGATAGCCACTGTACAGTAGGATTTCTATCTTGCTACCTGTATCACATGGCTAAATTCATCAGTATCGTGTTATCTAATATACAGTCCTATCATGAACTAGGAAGAAAAAACAAACAAACATGTGAACAGATTGCTGATTTTTGCTATTAACGGAAAAATGAACTTGAACCGCTGAAATATTAACAATTCTGTTTTTGCATGTTTCACCAACACACTGCCACACATAGAACTATAAGAATCCATATACAACACTAATTTAAAATGCTGAAAAGGAAGCCCATTCTCATAATTTAGATGCATTATAACAATGGTTTTCCTCTTCAACAAATATCTACACATACCAATTAAGCCAACATTTTTCAACATACATTACCAATGCATAGAATACCAAAACCCACACTAAGTCAGAGAGTATGCCGCACACATCATTTCTTTTAAGTATCCTAATATTTTAGTATTTAAGATCCTAAAAAGAAAGTACAAAGGACCTATGACATGAACAATAAACAGAGTGGGGATGAAAACCAGAACTAAAATAGAAAAAGATGCTAAATGAAATAGCAATGAGTAAAAACACAGCTTCTTTCTCAGAAAAATAGCTCTTGAGTTTATACATTTAAGAGATCCATGAAAAGTGTAACCATTTTAGGCTATTTCTCTATTTATAAAGTGTTTGTAACCAAGAAGAAAATGAGACAATATTTTAAAAAGCAAAGTAATTGAAAGTAGACAAATTAATTAGGTACTGGGCTCTGCTTTGGCCATAAGAAAATGAAAAAGGCAAAATGCCACAGAGCACCAACCTAGTAGGGAAAGCAAACCCTATGGCATAGTGTGAAATGTGGCACAAAGGTGGTCAGAGGCAGATAGCCTATCTCTGCTGGGAAAGTTGTAAAGAAAAGTGGTCACGGGAGTCGTCCCAGAGTGGATAAAATGTGAGCCAAGTCTAGCTACCAGGCAAACGGTGGGAAGTGGGACACCACATGCAGAGTGACTCCATGTGAAGAAGCTAACCAAGCAAGGCACACAAGAATAGTGTGCAAGAGGCACACCCACTTCATGTGGGAGGTCAAGGTATATGTATCTATGAGAGATAAGGGATAAAACTGGACTGGATAAGTTGGCTAGGGCCAGATAATGAAGAGCTTTCTATGGGCAGTAGGAAACACCAGTGAATTTTCAACAGGGTCCAGATTTGTCTTTATAAAGATCACTCCAATTGTAGTGGTATAGAAGAATGATTTCTTCTATAAATAAGAATTACTTATTTTTGGCAGTGGACAGATAGAGAGTACTATTCATCTGCTATATATTAGGATATTCATCAATATTATTTTATGAACAGCCATCAATACCTATTAGAACTGCACATGAGACATATGATGACAGAGGACTAAGGAGGCAATGTAGGGATGATATGAAGTATTTAAGAGTTAGAATTTAACTGCATGAAGGATAATTACATGTGGGGCAGAAGAGAGTTAAAAGAGATTAGGAGGTCCTATGTTTCTGGTCTAGGTGATTGGATAATGGTGC